AACCAGGACTTTGAGGCCCAGGAGTCGCAACACAGGGCCGCCAAACAACTACTTAGACCTCAACGCCGTGTCGGCACAGCACAAGCGGCGCGAGTTGTGTCCAAAGGGGTAGCGAAATGCGCTCATGAAGGCTATATGAGAGACCCGAGCGATTGTGGTAAGTTTTACCGGTGCGATAACACCGGCGGCACAATGAGGCGCCACGAGTTTGCCTGCCCTCCAGGCCTGCACTTTGACACCGGCAAAGGTATGTGCAATTGGCCCGCATTGGTGTCGCCCAAGTGTGGGACTGGTGGGGGTCGTGGAGGTGCTAGTGGACAACGGGTGCCCGTCGTTAATGCAAATGATAATAATGTGGGTAATAATGAGTTAAAGTATAAAAATTATTTCGCAAATAATAAACGTATGAGAGATATGTGGGCACAGGAGTCGAGGTCTGCCCCTAACAAGGCTTATGCTGGTTATAATGGAGGTAATAATGGACAGCCCCTCCCTGTGTGGCCCAACTATAGCCAGTACTGGAATAGAAATTTTGGTTAATCTTGTTAAATAGTTTTTTATATTTTTTATATAATTTTGTTTTTACATGATTTATGTAATTAATTAATAATTAAATGAAATGTGAGTTTTAATTACAATTTATAAATACAGATTTATTAGTTTTTTTAGTGTAAATCATTAGTTAATTATTTGTACAAAAGTTAAATGTTTTGTTTTGTATTCATTGAAATCCTAAACCAAAATTGATGTGTCATGATCAAATTGAAATTATTATTTTATGTTGTATTTTAATTTTATTAAAGTTGCGCAAAACTTATTATGTATGAAATGTTTTTAAAGTATTATATTAAATGTTATTATTGTTTGAAATTGTTTCCTGTAATAAACTGTAATAAAATGTTTTTTGTAAATTTGTTTTATATTATTTACAATTTTGCCTTGATCCTTATTAAATTGCATATAAAATACTTTTCAAATTAAATCAGTTAATTAAAGTAGTTTTTTGCTCTTTTATTATCAATAGTTAATTAATTAAAAGTCATTAGTCCTGGTTATAGCTGTAATCTAGAAAAATCTAATATTAATTATTAATATTAATTTTTAATATTCATCGAGGTTTACTTTTACACCAGGCATGACGTCTTGTATAATTACGTTATTAGCAGTAAATTAGCATGTTTACTTTAATACAGAATTACTAAACACATTATTCTAGCATCTACGGCAATTAGACTGCATTAGGATTAACAAGGTTATACATCGATAAAATGACAATCATTGAATATTTTGAAATAAATTCAATACTTTGAAAGTAAATGATTTTATAAGTTTTTGTAAATTGTAGATATATACAGTGTTTTGACATTATTATTAAATGCATTATTTAATAAAGTCTAAAAACTATTAAAAATTATTTATAATTTAAACTAATTAAGCAAACTAATAAAATAAAATAATGGAAATTACCACGGTGTACGAGTTTCTGGCAATTGTATTATTTTTTGTACTTTTCTACTCATTTCTCGCATTGATTATCATTTACTGTAAGTTTTAATACTTGTTATAATAAATAAATATAAGATAAAAATTGCAATTAATAGGCAAATGTTGGGAAGCGTTGAAGATTTATTGTCCGGCAGAAGAGATGGATATTATGAGCCCTTTTCCATACTATTATAATCCGATCTCAAATAAAATTGATAATAATTTTGCAAAACATTATCCATAGAAACAATATAACATTTATGTGTTTGCAATCACTTTTGTATTTCTTACAAAAGTTAAAAATATATATTTTGATATTTGTGTAAATTTCTAAAAACTTATTTTAATGATTAATTTTAATAAAAATATTTTTATCAACTTTTTCTTTGAAATATTCTCATTAATAATAAATAATACACATAACAAATCCGTTAATCCAATTCAAAAGTTAATCTTTATATCATTCTATCCCTCGTTCCCACATACTGTATATTGCAATTCCTTTCCCACGAAAGATAGTTAGATCTTATGGTCGACTGAACGGCATATTAGTATTAAAGTATTATTTCACGCCCTAAACGACTGTTTTAATTGAGCTAATAGTGTAAACAACTAGTTATAAATAATAGCTTGAATTTTGTAGTTGAAATAGTTAAGTAGTGATTCATTTTCCAGCTAGATCATAAATAAATTGTATAGATTTTGTACTACAAAAGTCATAATATAAATTTTATATACTTTATATTATAATAAAATTTATAATATAAAGTTTATATTAAATCAATAGGCATTGTTAACTGAGACTTGAAATAATTGTCTAAAGTTTGATAAATATATACATTTAGTACACTATGTCTGACTATTTAGTCTAATTATCATAATATTCATCATTCAGTATCAATTTACACTGAAATACTAGACATTATTTGCATGCAACTTATAAAACAAATATAATTATAAGTTATCATTCATAACATATCGAGTGTTTAAATGAAAATTATTTTCATATTTGAAAATATATTGTTTGAGACAAGTATTGTTTGTGAGGACTGAAAATGACCGCAAATGAAGACTTGGGATCAGTTGAAAGAAGACAGAAATTTGTCTCATTAGACAAATGGCATGTTTTTAGTCAAACGAGCGAAGAGTTTGTGCGAAACATCCGTTCATTTATTATATACGGAGAGACAGGAAATGAAGTGATTGTTGTGACCAAAGATGATGTGGTCTTTCATATGAATGTCAATAATATCACACAAATGACACAATTGTCTGAATTGAAGGCAAAGAATGTCACTAAAATCACATCCGGTGCTAAACATTTGTGTGCTCTTACATCGGCCGGTGATGTGTATGTTTGGGGCGATAATAAGTATAATCAGGTAATTTCATAATTTCGTTAATACAGTATTTGTTATTTAAAATGTTTGGTATATTCAGTTAAAATACAATAAATTATAATGTTAAATTTATCAGATATAGCAGTAATATTTATATAAATAAACTTATTAAATTTATTGGAATTTATATTACGAGTACAGTTGGGAAACGATAATATGACTTCATCTTCACTTCCGTTGAAAATATCATTCAATTTAAATAATGAAAAGATTGTCGACATTGAATGCGGTTTACAACACACACTGGCGCTGACCGATGCCGGGCATTTGTACGCCTGGGGTTGTAATAGTAGTGGTCAATTAGGTAATGGCAATACCAGTAGGCAATCCACACCTATTCAAGTGATCTGGACAGAGAAATCTGAACAAAGAATAAGAATAGGAGAACAGGACAAATATCAAATAACATCCATTGTTTGCGGTGGATATCATTCACTGGCCGTTACGGACACCGGGAGTGTGTTTGGATGGTATGGCAGAGAGGATTGATTTACAATTACAACTCATTTTTTAAAAATTATTTTTAATAATAGGGGTTACAATAGATATAATCAGTTGGTTTTGAGTAACACATATGGGTTTCAACAATCATTGCCCGTTCAGATTGAATATTTCAAAGAAATGAAAGTGGTCAAAGTTTGTGCTGGATTGAATCATACAATATTATTATCATCCGATGGTAATGTTTACACATTTGGACTCAATGATCATGGTCAGATAGGAACCGGTGATAAGACTAATAGGAGTGATCCATTCAAAGTAAACATCAATTATTATGGTCCTATTGTGGATGTGGTTTCACACATGAACAGCAATATTTCAACGGCCGTTACGGCTAATGCAGTGCTTTATGTATGGGGCGAATGTCGGGAACCGGTGGGAGATTTGCTAAACCCTATCGGTAACCATTTCTAATGCAAAAATATTTTTAAAATTATTTATTTATTGAATTTAAATCTAATTAGATGTAATGAATTTTGAATCGATATATGATGTGTTTGGGATGTATGACAAAACACAGGCGACGTATCGCTCGATATTAATCAATATCGCCGACGACAACCACCCAGTGCTCAATAGTATGTGCGAAGCCTTCGACAATACCATATCATCTAATTTCCGGTTTGTGATCGACGGACAGCCCATTCATGTCATCAAAGAGTATTTGATTATTCGCTGCAAACGTATGGAACCAATGATACGTTTGTTAGACACCAATCAAACGGAAGTTATGGTCAGTTTTATGATTATTTATTATACTTTAACTAAACTATTCAACATTTAAATTTATAATTTTATGAATAGTTAACAAACTATTCTTATGAGGCATTCAAAGCATTTCTGCAATATCTGTATACCAACGATGTGTTTGTGGCGCCGGATATTGCGGTCGAGTTATTAGGTTTGGCCGACACTTACGCCGAGACAGATCTCAAGACAAAGTGTACTCAACTTTTACGTAAAGGCATTACTATTGAAACCGTGGCCGTAATATACGGGTCGGCTGTTAAACACTCGGAGTCCGCACTTCAAGAAATATGTTTCAATTATGCGGTCAAACACTTTGAAGATGTGTTTAAAACAAAGGCTTTCAATGATTTGGATATTAAAATTCAAATGCATTTTCTTTGCAGGCTTACAGCAAATGCCGGACTTTCAAGCAGTAAATGATCTAATTGTTTGTATTTGTGTTATCAATATTTTCTTGTCTAAAATACAGAGCACACATTGTATTTATTATGAAATTATTAATTTTTTAAAAATAATTTAATACTTAAGACATAATTAAGGCAATGTTTATTTATTAATTGCAGAGGAAATATACACAATTACTATCAGTTATATCCCAAACGACTCATCTGTTTATTAAATTTTATTATTAAAATTATATTAGTAATAAATTATTACTACTTTTCTATCTTAAGTAAAGCTAGCCAACCTTTTTTAGTATATCACAAATACAGATTCACAGTATGCCATAAAAAGGTGGCGCATCGGTCAGTAAAAAAGTTTAGGTTTGTCAGTATTAAACGAGAAACACCACGTGAAAGTCAACCTAATGGTTTCTC